CCTCCTCCTCCTCCTCCCCCACCCCATTGAACGGCCACGCCCACGCCCACCGTCGGGGAACCCCCCACCGTTTTCGTGATCTCTTGCATGACGCTCGTGCACACCTCTGCGAGGGAGTGGGTGGATTGCCAGGGACTCAGCTTCGGGTGCCGGACAACGGCGCCAGTGGCGTCAATCCAGGCATGCCGGACCCCCAGGCCCAGGAGGCGGAGGGACGGGGGCTCGTCCGGGAAGTTGTGGGGGAGGGAGACGCGAAGGACGGCTGTGGCAGAGGCGGAGGGGATCGGGAGGTCGAACAGAGAGGAGTCCTGGGATTGGGGGGGATGGAGGGAGGGAGGAAGGGAGGGAAGACAGGGAGGGAGGGAAAGAGGAAGGGAGGAGATGGACCGGTCGGAAAAGCTGATGGGTGGTTTGTAATATGAGCTAATCTAGAGAAAGAGATAGAGCTCCAACGAAATGCTTTGTGAGTGACACTTCGCTCACTCACAGTCTTCCGAGGCAAGAAATGCATTGCGGAAGACTTAAATTTCAACACTCAGGAACCATAGACCATGTCCGAAAAAGGTAGATGAATAAACCCTTGCGATATTTGTAAACGTACCGAATTGACTGCCCTAGCTGTCGGCACAGCTTGCTTGAGTGCCTCTATTTGTTGACGTTTGAGGGCATCCAAGTCTCTGTCAGGTCGACGGGATCGACCGAAAGGGAACATGGCAAGGCGGTGCAACACAGGAAAAAGAAAACCCAGGAACACCAAATCGATGCTCGGCTCGACGACGCGACGGAAGCCAGGCACAAGCAATGCACGTACACTGGCGGGCCACTTGGTTGTGCCTGCGAAACCATGGGAATAGTGTGAAAAAATTGCTGGCAGGAATTTGGGCCTCCGCATGGTCGTACGAGGTTAACCTCCTCCCCTCTTATGAAGTGATAGGAGGAGCTGTCTACGGCGCATAAAGCTCCACATGTGCATCCACCTTATCAATGATTTGATTAAAAATGGCAGTATACATGCGTACCCTTCATGGTTGGGCAGAAAGAGGGGAATCGTGCTTTTTTGGGGTGATTGCGTAAAGCTTTTTCACCCACTTTCCTCTTGCCTTACCCTTTTCCCTTCGACTCGTCACATTTTCCGTCTTCGGTGTTTCAGCAGGCCGCCCCCATTATGATAGACAGCAGCGACGAAGACAGCTATAGCGATCACAATGACGTACATGACCCTTTGCATCGCCCGCCCCCGGCTGCGGGTATTCCCTCACGGCCCCTCCCTCCCCAGGAGGAACAACAACGTGTTCTACATAACCAGGGATACAGGGACGGTGCCAGCGCAGGGCATCCCGCCGGACTCCAAGAAGGTTTTGATGAAGGTTTCCGAAAAGGAATGATGGCAGGGGAGGTGGTGGGGCGGCTGTTGGGTGCCGCGAGGTAGGAAAGAAGGGGGCACATGCGACAAGCCGTGCGATGAAGGGGACGGCCAGGCCGTGCAGAACGTGCACAACTCTAACTTCAGAGGAAAGCTCACGTGACATTCCCCTCCTCTTCCTTCCCTCCACGTGCCGCCAGTGCCATCCAGGGAATGGTGTCGGGAAACGCTCCATGGTGCGAGGCCCAGGAAGTCACTGAGGAGGTAGCGAAGGAGGCATCCTCCCTCGTAACGGCGTTGGCGGAACGGGCGAGGGATCTGGAGCTGGTGGAA